AGTCTTATGCTGCATTTTCATACATTTTTCAGCCAGAGACCATTCCTGCTGGAGAAGCTTGCACAGAGGTCTGGCGACCTGAGATCATGCTAAGCAGGTGCAGGAGCCCAGATTCTTTACAGCACTCCCTGAAAATGCTGTTGCTCTGAATGACAAGCTTTCTGCAGAAAAGAGTTTCACACTGGAGACACTGCTATGGAAATATCTGCCTCCACTCCTGGTGCACTTGGAAGACACACGTTCGGCTGGGTGTGCGGATGGCCGAGCTGCTCAGTACAGCAGGCTGCCTTTTTATAGCTTCTGTTAATCGGCCACAGAGTTCCAGACACCATTGCTCTGTATGGTCCTCCAAAATAAAACCTGTCTTCTCTTTCACTATGCTGCAAGGCCTGCATTTATCAAGCCAAGTGAGCCTTACTTTTCCTCTCTTTTCCTCTGCAATCACTTTATCTATCAAGCGCCCTCTGAGCTACACTAATTCATTGGCTTTTTTCTTGGCAGGAGTGGCAGCTGCTATAGCACCGGTCAGTATTATTTTATCTTCTTCATGCATCACCAAACAAAACACTCTCCCCAGTCATGAAAAGCTACTTCTAGGGATATTGGAGAGGCACAGTACATTTGCAGGAAGTCAAGAAGCCCCTAGATCTTAATTATAAAACCATAAAAGAGACCAACTCCCTTTGCAGGCTCTCTTACCAGGAAACAAATGAGAATGGGAAATTTATTTCAAATCATAAATCCCCAACCTTCAGTTTAATTTTTCCCAGGCTAACTTTCTCACCTAGCTAAGCAGGAGTGCTTTCTATTATTAGCTGCTGGCCCAGTGTTGGCTGACCAGTATCAGTCAAATTGTCTTCATCTCAATGAGTTTGGGGACTCCCAAGGAACTCTACATATGCAAATTTCTGCATGCAGCCCTAATTATTTTCAAAGAGATAATGAAACATTTAAGTGCACCGAGGTTAGATTAAACTTGTAAGTAGATCAAAACCCCGGATAAAATTACAGCTTGTGTAACATCACCACCTAGAAATGGAAGGCTACCCTTTTTAGGGATGATATATGCTGGGTTTCATTGATTTCCTTCTGTATTAGAATCCTGGTTAGCTTATTTTACTTTCAAATCAGGAAAGCAGTCGACTAGGTGTAGGATATCTCTTTGCTTTGATAATAAGCCATAGGCTTTCGGCAAGAGCTTCATAGCTACTTAGGAATTCATGACATCTTCAAGTCAATTGACTTACAATGTATTAGGAGAAAAGAGGAGTGCTGACAGACTTCATACGGTAAAAAAAATAATGTTGCTTCAAAAAGCAGCAACAAAACCGGTTGGTGGGTATCTTAACACCTGCCTCAACTTTAGCATACACCACAGTAGGTCTCTATGCATTGCTGTTTCTATGAAGGTTCTGTGGACCTTCATATTCTACTTACTGCTGCCAAAGTTTCCAAGGTATTTAGATTCCTTCACTTGGGTCACACTTCTGGGAACCTATAAACCAGCTCAACTTCAAGGCATAATGGTTATTTCATCAGAAAACTGAAACAATCACATATATCAACAATGGTTCAAAAGTAAAACTGACTTAAGCCGGCTAAGACAGCTGAATTAAATTTGTGATCTCCTGGCACTGTCCTGACCAGTTCCCTAAAAGGGGCTATCAGATGGGAGGTAAACCAAACTAGTTAAAGCAAAGCATATCATAACAAAACTCAGCTCCTTGCTAAATCTGCACTCTTCAAAACTCAGTTCTTTCATGGGACAATTAGGTTCCAGAGTGACAGAACTATGCTGCAAAAGATTTGTTCTGCTCTAGCAAGCTCATTTTCTAGGTATCTCACAGTAACCATTCTTGCAATATGTAAGCTGCTAAATCTGAGCTGAGTTCATTTCCTTTGTAAAAGATTTAAGACACTTTTCTATATTGGAAGTGTTAGATAGCTGAGCTTCAAGGTATTGTAGAAGCAGGGCAGACTCAAGGCAATTTGTTGCCTGTGGCCAAGTGGGGTCTCCTTCCCAGGTCATGGTGCATTGTGGCCAAGGCCACTCAAGTTATTGTGGCAGCTGAAGAAAAAACTGTCCAAGGAACTTCTCCTCTCTGGCAGTAGAAACACAGTAATAAATTAACTAGCAACTAGCTACCCTTTCATGACCCCTGGAATCAGCTGCCTGAGGCTGTGAATTCACTGTACCAAATGATAAGACTAACCCACTGCAAATGGACTCCTTGGGTGAAGCCTACAGCAGAATTTACAAACTCAATGCAACCCTAGTTTAAGTGTGGCAATATTATACAAGGATGAAACATTAGTATGCATTTGCATTAGTATGCATTTAATAACTTAAGCTGGATGCATATCCATCTTTGTAATAAATATCCTAGTGTTATTTTAATCCTGAATGAAATTGCGGACTTGGTGGATGCATTTGGATAAGTATTACCCAAGTTCCTCTTAAGGAAGAAGGAAAAGCAAAGGTAAGGTGAAGGAGATGGAAATAACTTTTGAGTAAGACAAATGAGAAATACTATTTGCTGGGTTAGGAAAAGTCACCATTTAAGCACAAGGGGTTTTTTTGCTCCTTGGTTCAGTGTTCCCTGGTGAGTGAAATATAGGAGGGGGTGCCCACATCATGTGCTAGCATGATGCATTATGTCATTATAGTCATTACGGATACATTAGAAAGTTTTCAAGGGGAGTAAAATGACAGCTGAGTTGCCAAATTGCCATGGCCAATTCTCCTTTAGCCGTGCAGCATTTAAAAGTGTCCCAACTGGTCACAAAGCACTCCTTGGTTTCATTTTCTTTCTGCCACCATTAAAAGATTTGACAAAAAAGCAACTGCTACTTTTTTCCTACTGCTAATCTCTTTGTCTTCCAAGGAATAACAGTCATTCACTCTTCATATCTTTTGTGTTGTTCCTCTAATGGGCTACACTAAAATGCTCATTTGAGCATATGAATTTGCCACATCACATGTTGTTTTACTCATTCCACATGCCTCCAAAGATAAATGTCATATTATCAGTTGCCTATCATTACAGGAGGTAAACTACGAAACAAGATGTACTCTTAAATTAGATGCCAGTACCCTACTTTGTAATGAAGGCCAAAGGCAGTATTTTCAGAAGTGTCTAAGAAACTATCCCTACATTTGCAAAGTAGCAAGGGAGTCTTCCTGCCTTCCATTACTAGGGAGGTGGCATTGTTATCTATGGATTTTGCCAGTCCGTGCTATAGGTCTCTATGTGTGATTTCACATTGTGCTAATGCATGTCTAATACATGTCTTTACAATTTGCATCAAGTGCATTTTCAGATGGCTATGATAATTTGGACATACACATGGTAGGCTTGTCATGAGTGGAGCTGGCAGGAGCCGGTGGTCAGACTAGTAGGCCCAGGAGGCCCCTTCTGACTTGATCTGTTTCTCTGTTTCTCTGCTTGGGTTCAATTTTAGAGCAGAAGGGATGCAGTCAAGGGATACACCACTTCTGCTCTTCCCCATGTCCATCAAAACAAATGAAAACCTCCCACCAAGGTTTTTGGGCCCCAAGCAGTTTATGCTTTTAAACACAAACACCAGAGCCAGTGTGGCGTAGTGGTTAAGAGCGTGGGACTGGGACTCAGACGATCTGGGTTCTAGTCCCCGCTCAGCCATGAAGCCAACTGGGTGACTTTGGGCCAGTCACAGACTCTCAGCCCAACCTACCTCACAGGTTTGTTGTTGTGGGGATAAGAGGGAGGAGGAGATGTAAGCTGCCTTGAGCCCTTTGCAGGAAAAAGGCAGGATATAAATTGAAAAAAAAAAAAAAAA